TGTTGGGCCTATGAGCCACGCGCCAACAAGCCAATCCTCCCTTTTGGTTCAGCACATTCGAAAGTGGTGAAGCGCGCTATTGCTAAGACTTGCTACACAAACGCTTTGCGAAAGTCCTGCTATCACACAATTCTGTCCAGCTTTAATAAGCAAACTAAACGCCTTACAGAAGCTGGTTTCCCGATGTACGTTTTGACCGCCGTTGCTGAGTGTCTACTCAGAGAAATCAGAACGAGTCCAGAAAATAATGCTCAGAACCGTACAAAGGATAAGGGACGTGGGAAACGAAACTTCGTCGTTATTCCCTATATCCACGGCGTCACCCACAATCTCAAAAAAGTAGCCAGCAGGTGCGACGTAGACCTGGTTTTTTCTGCCCCAGAAAAACTGGCTAGGTTGTGCAGAGCCGTGAATCGTGGTTCGAGGGGCGAGCGAGGCTGCAATGTCAAGCATCGAAAGAAGTACGTTTCATGCATTGAAGGAGTGGTGTACTCACTACCCCTGTCTTGCGGCAAGTGGTACATCGGCCAAACAGGCAGGTGTTTAAATGAGCGGCTGAAAGAGCACGCTCACAACGTCTCCTCTACAGTTTCGGGCCATCTCGGCATTCATTGCCGAGACTGCGGCTGTGTCCCTGATTTTCGGCTTTGTACCGTCATTAGGCGGCATCGGGACCAGTTGATACGTGAAATTTATGAGGCTTCAGAAATAGAAAGGCTGGGCAGTGCATGTGTAAGCAGGCCTTCGATTGAGCTATCATTAAAAGAAATAGATTTCCTTCGGCACGTTAGCACACGTGCTGCTCATGGTGCGTTGTGAAGATGACTATGTGGTTGTTAGGTGGATTCTGTTTTGTTTGTTTTGTATTTTCTTTTTTTGTTAGATACTGACCAAGTATATATTGTGCAGTTCTGGCAAATAAATCTTGTTGTAAGTTCGGTGCCGCTGTCTGTCTCCTTCTTTTTCTAGTCTCTCGTTATTGGCGCTGTTTTTTATGTGACTCTTCATTAACTCTTATCCCTAACTGTTCCCATTCTAGGCTTCTGAAAACCTACTGCAAGCTCGCGGTAAGTAGCATTGGGGAGATTGTGTCCCCCTGCATTACACCCTTCTTGATTGGTATTCTGTTGCTTTCTTTATGAAGCACTATGGTAGCAGTTGATCCCCTGTAGACTTCTTCTAGAATGTTTATATATACTTCATCTACACCCTGATTCCGCAGTGTCTGCATGACGGCTGATATTTCTACTGAATCAAACGCCTTCTCATAATCTATGAAGGCTATGTATAGTGGTTGGTTATATTCTGAGCATTTCTCTATTACCTGATTGATAGTATGAATGTGGTCAATTGTTGAGTAGCCTGTTCGCAATCCTGCTTGTTCCTTTGGTTGATTGAATACTGATGTCTTCTTTACTCTGTTAGCAATTACCTTTGTAAATAGCTTGTATACTAGAGAGAGCAAGCTGATCAGCCTGTAATTCCTCAGGTCCTTGTCATTTCCTTTCTTATGTACTAAGATGATGTTGGCGTTCTTCCACGACTCTGGTACTCTTCCCGTCAGGAGACACCTCGTAAACAGTGTGGCTAGTTTTTCTAACACAATCTGTCCTCCATCTTTCAGCAGATCTGATGTTACCTGGTCCTCACCAGCAGCTTTGCCTCTTTGCATGCTCTCCAAAGCTTTTCTGACTTCTATCATTACTAGTGGGGTGTCATCTGGGTTACTGCTAGTTCTTATAGTATTAAGGTCCTGGTTGTCTCGGCTACTGTACAGATCTCTGTAAAACTCCTCCGCTATTTTATCTATTCTATCCATATTGGTAGTTATTTTGTCTTCTTTGTCCCTGTCACACACTTCGGGTGAGGCCCCGCCGATCCAACATCGACGTGCGGCAGACTCGCAAGCTTCCACTTTACGCTTCGGCCTGCGACGCCTGGAAGGCCTCGAAGTGGCACATTTCAAATTTATTTGCGGGGTGGCCGACCCGTGCGGGGTTGCACGTGTGGTGATGTGTGGGCCTGACCGACGCACTCATAGAGCAGACACAGAGTTTGATTACACCTAAACAACCATTTAATTGAAACAAGGGCAAAGGCAGGAGATTACAAAAAATAACAAAGGAGGGAAACTGATACGCGCGATGGAAAGAACAGCTAGATAACACAATATGCTAAAAGAACATTACAAGAGGTACAAGCACAAGCCAATACGCGGAATGTTAATAAAATAACGACAAAATGGAAATCAGAAAAGAGCGATGCAAGGGAATAATTACACAATGATCATGGTGGCGCTTTAGAATTTAAACGTGCGACGCAGCGCACACTACAAATATTTAAAAAAAAGGCTGGTTAAAACAAGTTTACGGTTTAACAAAAAAGTCACAATAAAAAGTTCCATACGGACCAAACCAGCCCTTGGTGCACGTAGGGGAGTTGACGGGTGCCGCTGAAGGTCTCGCCGGCTTGGTAGACGACGAGGGTGCCCGGAATTGCAGCCGTCTCAATACGTTGCGCGGGTCACTCCGTGCTCGCAGCCTACGCGAGACTCGCGACACCGACGACCGCACTTGTTGCTGGCTGTACGTCAATTGCTCTTCCGATGCAGTTCAAACCGCCTCAGGGGCGTACACGTGCTCCCGTCTCATATGGGAGTAATTCTCCCTGTTGAGACCGCCGGTTCCCCTTCCGGTCAGGGGCAGGGAAGACGAGCCGGCGCCACGCTGGGTCGTTATAGTCGCCGGATGTCGTCTCCCAACACAAAAACGCCCTTCCTTGGAAGATGGGGCCCGCGGATGCTCCGAAAATTGGAGTCGTTTGTGACAGTCCCTTAGTGCATGCATCCGATTTATGCCTATCCCAAGTTTCCTCTTCACTTTTTTTACGCTTCCTCCGTTTTTCAGAGCGTGTTCAATTCTCTCTATGTTATACCTTTTTCCATCGCATACCTTACGCTTATTAATCAACTTCGAAAGCTCTGCCAGGGTTATTTTGTCTGTTGTACTTGAGTCTTTCATGATTTGATGCTTCTTAGTTAGATTCCTCGTTTCCTGGGAAAGCTTGCCAGTGTCCTAACTACGTCAATAATAGCAGTTTTGAAAGCAAACCACGTAAGATCTCAGCCTCCTGGTTATTAAACCACAGTAGCGCAATATCGGCGATATAGAACGCGACATAGCCAAGCTTACTTTGGTCGTCCCATTTGTTACTGGTACGACTTTGTCGTACCTCACCAACCAATGTTCTACGTTCGATTCAGTGAATCCAGTGAAGATATGGGGATCTCATTGAGAATACACGGTGCCGCAAACATGAACGGCTGGAGGTCCCACCAGGAAAGGAATCTCGGTGACCATGTTGGTGCCACCGAGGGGCAAGCTTGCGGGTGTTAAGTTCCAGGTTTGTACATCTTTACCGAATTTCACGTGACTTATTCACATACAAACGTTCTGTAAGGCTAAGGAACATCAGCAGGCTGAAATCCAGGCAAGTGCAAGCTCGGGTCGTGCAAATTTATCGATTGATTGACATGTGAGGTTTAACCTCCCAAAACCACTTTATGATTATGAGAGACGCCGTAGTGGAGGGCTCCGGAAATTCCGACCACCTGGGGTTCTTAACGTGCACCCAAATCTGAGCACACGGGCCTACAACATTTCCGCCTGCATCGGAAATGCAGCCGCCGCAGCCGGGATTTGATCCCGCGACCTGTGGGTCAGTAGCCGAGTACCTTAGCCACTAGACGGGGCTCGCGCAAATATATCAGCAACCTTGCTTGCCTTCCTGGCTGTCTCGCATTGTTCCCAACACTTGGTATAAAATTTTCAAGCTGAACAGGTGAGCATCAAGTGCAGAGTCGAAGAGTGCCATATCGAGAACAGCGGCTAAGTGAATGAGAATATGCATGTTCACTCTATGAGCAGTCTTGTGCACCTGTCTTGGCTAGGCCGTTTCTTAAACCAGACACCACCACCCTGCTTCTGAGCACTGTTGACATAATCTTTTTGCCTTTTCTGAATGCTGCCATCGAGTAGAAGAAAAACAGTTTAACCGCAGGAGCAAATGTGATAGCAATAAATTGGAATGTAAGATGAAGTAGCTAACTCCTTTGGTTCACACAATTCTAGAAAACTCTGGTGTAATACGGTCACGCCATGGAGAGATGCACAGTCACTTCATGTTAAAAGTGCAGCACATAGAAGGGTTTACGAGCTGATCTGATAACTGCCGAGCCTGCGCCACTGACAGCACCCTTTAAATCACAGTGCAGAGCTGTGGCTCAAACAATCACAGGCTTAATAAAACCGTTTCAATGAAACCAAAAACACAATGTTTCAGTCTCGTCTTCTGGCATGGAACTTCTTGCCTGCCGCACCTTGTGGCAAAATTTTACGAGCTGATCTGATAACTGTCGAGCCTGCGCCACTGACAGCACCCTTTAAATTACAGTGCAGAGCTGTGGCTCAAACAATCACAGGCTTAATAAAACCGTTTCAATGAAACCTAAAACACAATGTTTCAGTCTCGTCTTCTGGCATGGAACTTCTTGCCTGCCGCACCTTGTGGCAAAATTTGGGTGCCATGGTGCAGAATGCCCCTGATAAACGAATTTGGAGTAACAGAGGTGGTTCGGCTCGGCATGGTGCAAGCAAATAGTGCAAATAGCACAGTCATTCCACCCCAGTGCTTGCTTGATGCACTGCCCTTGCAGCTTCACCTACTATTCTTATGATTTTCTTGGGTGCCCCAAAAATGCACTTCAGAAAAAAAGGTCCAAGCCTGGAGAGCTGCAGATTAAAGCCAAGATTGTTCTTGTCACTGCCACTCAGAGCTGGTGTTCTGGGAGCAGAGAAGCATAGGCGTAAAATGAACATTATAAAAAGTAATATAGTAAGTAAGCAATGAGAGTCCTCCTTGCCCCTTTCTCATAAATTTGTTGGGATGCACCACAAGGCATGCCCAGCTCCTCTTTCCACCACAGCATGCTGAAGACGTACCTGCGGGATGAGGATGATGGCACCACCGTCTAGTGCGGCCTCTTCGGCATACGCTGCTGCCATGGCCTCCATGCTCTGGCCCTCCTGCATCCAACATTCAATACTCTCTCATCACAAAAACTTCACACTTTCTTTTGATACCCACATCCCCTTCGAGACCTATCCCAGGCAAGAAGTTCGCTTTACTTCACAGATAGTGTTCTCGACTGCAATTCTACAAGCCCTGAGCATTAAGTGTGCCATGCTCTTTTATTGTCTGATTTTGATGTATTCGTGTTTCATCCAAAAAAACTACTGTTATCAATGCTCGGTGCAGGCTGCGCTGCAATGTTTAGGAAGCTCCACGATTGTTTGTGCTCATGCCGCAAAGATTTCACACAGTGTGCGAACAGTCAAGCTTATTCGAGAGATTACATGAGCACCGGCGATAAGGCTCCCACATTCAATGCTGCACGTATGAACACTGCCGCGCTTCACCACAGGTCAGAATATGAATGTCGACACTCTGTTCGCCGCTATCAGTGTACAGTGGGTATTGCTGTAGTTCGAGTTATCATTTCTTAGACATAAGTTCTCCCCACATGAAGCTTTTCCCAAACACGCCCGCTTCTGCCATTGTCAATGTCGCGACAAAGTGACAATACACAGAAAAAAAATTATGTTTAAGCTTGTACGCTGTCCATGCATACCACAATAATTATCATTACTGGTAGGTTGCACACTCTGCAAATTTTACCACATTGCCAGATCTGCTTCTTTATTTTTCATGCAACTGGCTCATTGCATGTGTAAACGCTTGCTTGAATGCACAACACAAACAATTAAGTTCTTTCTGGAACTAATGCATCTGCCAACAATAAGGTTGGAACTTTCGATGCCGCATGAATGAATCCACCTTACTGTATCAAACTACTCTACGAGCGACAACCATTCTAGCTGCAACCAATGTTGAGCACAAACGGCTTGTCATTTGACTTTTTACTTTCTAGGTCTGACCACCTCTCCTTCATATTTTTTTTCTTTCTTTCTAAGTTACACTAGAGGAAAAGGACATATCAGATTCTTCGAAAAATGATATGTATCGTGTATCCACCTGTGCTATAAAATGTGAAAAGATGCTTGTGTGTGGTCCTTTTCATATTGTTACAGAAAAGAAGAGACGCCATATCGACGAGGCTGTGGATAAAATATATTTCAAACCAGCAGCAGCAGCAGAGTGACCGGTAGACCAGACACCTAGTGGAGACCATTCTTCATTCTCTTCGTCAGGCACCCACGTGCATCGTCCCACAAGATGTCAACATGCATGTAGCATAATCCCCGGCGGCAGAAGCGCCGTCGCGGCACATCTAGATGTCAACGTCATCGGGAGAGTGGTAAGGCTTCAAGCCTGCCACATGTACGATATCGGTGGTCTGTGGGGCAGTTGAAGGTGATGAGGCAGCAGGGGCAATTTCATATGTCACAGGAGTAACCTCACGAAGGACTCGATATGGAATCTGTGTAGCGGAAAAGAAGTTTTTCCGACAAGCCGACTTAATGATAATAATAATAATAATAATAATGACTTTATTTCGCATCAAGGATACATGATGCAGGAGACCTGCAGAAAAAGCTGGCGTGATGCCAGCTTGACAAGGCCGCAGGCCCCCCTTCCCCCTCCCCCAACACATCGCAGCAGCGGTAACACTTTCATAAAAACATTCGGGATCATACGCGTAAAATAAACAGGTCTATGACAAGAAAGAAATCATCACTGTACATGTGTGATAAAACGAAACGTCTAATGCCTAAACAACAACAAAAAAAAAATCTATTTCAAAAGATGCAAAAAATGTTGGCGTATTTGCCTTAAAAAAAGGAAGCATTTGCGTAATACATCCAAGCAAAGCATACAAACATGTATACGACAAAAATGAGCAATCAACACTGTACAGGTGTAACATATTGGTACATATAATGCTATAAACAAATAATTTCGCAATGTGAAATACAGGCGCATTTGCCTAGCAAAACACAGAAAAAAGCATCATAAAAAAGAAATATGCCTAGTTTATTGCTTTGGCAACACCACAAATGCATACTCATTTCCTAAAACAGAAAAAACAAACAAGACACCAAGAAACATATCGTGAAAAAAAACAAACACAAAGCAGTATACAAAATACACGTCAACAAAAACAAAATACAAAATACATTCTTTAGAAATTACAAGTAACAGAAACGAGTGATCATGACGTCTGGAGGAAATGATTCCGCAGTTGTTTAAAGGTGATTTTTTCTAAGTCAATTTCGTTATCCCTAAGTTCATTTAGTAACCTTGGAAGTTTATTTCCCAATGATCGAAAACCGTATGTGGTTCTAAAGGTTCGAACAGTCCACACTTCATTTTTCCGGGTATTATACTTAGGCTGGTTGAGTATTAATCTGACTTGACGGGTCGTGGACCACAGCAGCACCAATGAACCGGGTAAGAAGTGCACGTCATGGTGCTGTTGATCATACAAACGCCGCTGGTTCTCTTGAGAGGCCAGAAAGCGAGTGCGGACGATTTCGCCTGCGTGAACAGCCCGAGTGATAGCGTCAAGGGTATATTCGCTGGTCAGTGTCGCGCTAGACAGAATGACTGTATCTAGGGGTAATGTAGGTTCTTGGTCGAACAAAAAAAAAATGAAGAGTAAGCGGCAGTGTCATGGCGAGAAGAACTGCAAGCAAATGTGACGTATGGCAACGCGAGATCATAGTCGGTGTGATTGATAGAAACATACTTCACGAGCATGCCTGTAAGAGTTTGATTAAAACGTTTCGCGAGTCCATTGGTTTGCGGGTGGTATGACGTAGTCAGCTTGTGTCTCGTTTGACAGGACTGCAAGAGTCGGCTATGACCTTCGACAAAAAGGTGCGGCCATGGTCTATAAGCAGCTGCCATGGGGCTTCGTGTTGCAAAATCACGTCCATGAGGAGGAAGTCGGCGACTTCTGAGGCGCAGCTTGTTGAAAGAGATCGTGTGATGGCATAACGCGTGGCGTGGTTGGTGACGACGACTATCTACTTGTTACCCGAGGAAGACAAGGGGAAAGAGCCAAGTAGGTCCAAGCCAACGAGGAAGAACGGTTCTGACGGAATGTCAAGTGGTTGAAGGCATGCGGCGGGAAGTGTCGATAGTGTTTTGCGGCGCTGGCATTTCTCATAAGCCGCAATGTTTCTTCTGACTGAGCGTGCAAGCCCTGGCCAAAAGACGCGTCGGTGTATTCAGTCGTCAGTGTGTGACACACCAAGGTGACCACCAGTCGGAAGGTCATGAAGTTCCGTGTAGAACTTTTGAGCAAAAGGTGTTTCGGAATGACAAGCAGCAGGGCCGGTCCATCTGGCTCAAAACTTTGGCGGTATAATTCACCATCGTGAAGCACGAATGAGCGATAGGACTGATTAAAAGATGGTGATTCGAGGCGCTCAATGATAGCACGCAAGGACGCATCATGGCGCTGCTTGTCACCAATGCATGTCATTTGCGAAAAGGAAAAGACGCAAGGTTTGGTGTCCGCGTCAGGCATAGTGCTCGATTCGGCAACCGGGTAGCGAGACAGGCAGTCTGTGTCCTGATGTAGGCATCCGGACTTGTACGTCACTGTGTAGGTATACTCTTGCAGTCGCAGAGCCCAGCACCCAAGCCGGGCAGTAGGATCCTTCATTGACGAAAGCCAACATAGCACATGATTGTCTGTTATTACAGAGAAATTCGTTCCGTATAAATATGGCCGGAACTTCGTGACTTGCCCAAACAAGAGTAAGACATTAACGCTCTGTTATTGAATAGTTGCGCTTGACAGCTGTGAAAAGGCGGCTAGCGTAGGCGATAACTCGGTCGTGTCCCCGCTGGCGTTGGGCTAGGATGGCTCCAATCCCGTGACCGCTCGCATCGATTCAGACTTCTGTCAACATGCATGTAGCAATATGAAAGTGAAAAATACCGCTACAACAAACGTGTCCCATTCGATGATAGGTGCGTTACCATTGGCTACATGCCGAGGTGGTGCCAAAGCGTTCAGTGAGCGACACAAAAACTGCCTTGCTGCAATGGGTTGAATTTGTAAGGTGCCAGTAGACCCCGATAGTGACTATGTGAATTCTTGGCGTATTGCACTATTTACGAGCGTATTTTGGGAGAATATACAATGAAATACCCCCTAATAGGCACTTCTTCAAGCACATAACACTTTACTTGTTCACTTTTTACATGCGTGAGAAGCAGTATTTCTTTACACATTAATAATGCAATTTGTGTGGATCACGCTCAATGCAGTTTAAAGGGCCTGCTCGCATTTATAAGCAAGAGAGGTTTAGATTCCCATATTCAGAGAATCTGATAATGTAGAGACTTTTGTGCGTGTACTACACCGAACGAGACATTGTGTGCAGTGACTCATTGTGCTATACCACAATCACCCCTCACCATACCCTCCTCTTTTTTCCCTTTCCCCTTACCCCCATGTGGAGTAGCAGGCTAGAAACTCACTTTCAAGGCCGACGTCTCCTCCTTCTTCTCATTAAACACCTTCTTTTTCTTCTAATAATGCAATAAATCTAGGCACAACATACATAGATTAATTTAGCACCGAAACATTTTGTTTCAAGAATAAAACTCTGGGATAATAAAAGAATAAAACTCTGGATAAGATAAAACTCTGGATAGGGAAGCGTAACCCTGGGATACGATCTTGGCATGCACCACTATCACCGAGCACATGGCAGCGCACGACCCAGAGCTCTCACATTTACTGTCAGCACCGTACGTCACAATGGTGCTTTGTGCAGTATTTGCCTGCTGTACAAGTTTAAATCAAATTAAAAAAAAAAAATAAGAGGAACAAAACTTGGGCGTACTGTTGGCTAAAAGTGATCACAAACCCGTGCAACCACATGAAACAGCTGCCCAAGAAACAGAGCATGTGGTTTATGCGTGCATGAACAGGAAGGACCTTAAGAAATTCAACAGCATTCATGTGCGCAGAAGTCTCCTCATAGCAGGCAAGTTATGTTTCAAAATCTCTCCACCTCTTCGCTAAGTGTATGACTGCTGAGTT